GTATCATCGTAATCCCTCCTACACACATCTTCGCGTTTTTGGCTGTCTTTGTTATCCTCTACTTCCATCCACCACCATTAACAAATCATCTCTCGGCATGTCATATTTGATGAGACACAATTTCCCTTTGCTCACATGCCTTCTCCACCTCCCACCACCTACGATTATTTTACCGATGATCTGCACCCATATATTGTCCATCAGTGGATCAATCCCACCTTGCAACTTCTTTCCGATGACCTTCCTAGTCTGCCACCCGTTATACCTGACCCTCCATCTATCTCACCCGTCGGGTCCCATAATCCTTCTCATGCCTCCACCACCACAACATCCTCTTCCTCCTCTACGGATACACCTGATGCCTCCCCATCATCTACACCATTGGCCCAGCCTGCACCTCCCACTAGGACTATGGCCACCCGTAGCATGCGGGGTATCTACAAACCCAAAAAGCTCCTTAACCTTTATGTTACCATTGATGATCCGTGTAACGCCCCGATTCTGAATTCCCGTTTTTATTGAGTCCTTATTTGATTTACTTAAATGATTATTTTATTTATGCGGAATTTGTGTGATAATATGTTATGTTTACATATTGAGCTATTTTTACCGACTTGGAGAGTTTCGGGTAAAAATAGGTTGGGGGGTATTTTGGGCATTAGTGATAATATTAAGATGATATTTTGTGAGAATTAATTGATAAGTGTGTGGAAAGAATTTGGGAGGAAAGAAATAGAATATGTGATATAGAGAGAATAGAGAAAGATAGAAACATTAAGAAGAAAAACAAGAGAAAGAAAGGAGGAGGAGAGAAAAGAAGAGAAAGTGGAGCAAAACCTAGAATCATCAAGAATCAACCTTAGCTTGCGATTAATCAGGTAAGGGTGAGAAGTTTTATCATCTTCATAATGTGTATGATCATGTATGTGCTAGATTGGATCTGTTGGATTGTTTTCTATGTTTCCATTTCTAGGTCGGAAGTTGATTTAATCGGTAGAAACTGAGTTTTATCGGTTAGAATTTGGAATAGACGGTGTAGTATAGTCGCGTGATGAGTGAGTTGTACTACTAGAACTGATTTGGATTAAATCGGTCGGTTTGTGAGGTTTGGGCTTTTGGACGGCCATGGGAGTTCTGAGTTCGCAGGTTCGTCAGGCGAATGCCAGCGAAGCTTCGCCGGGCGAAGCCCAGCGAGCAGCAGCGAACCAAGTCAGTAGCATCTACCCTGTCTTCGCTGGCAAGTTCGCCAGGATAATGAGAGTGGCGAAGGTTCGCCAGGCGAGTATGCTAGCGAGTAATTCCAGAATAAATCCCAGTGGTCTTCGCTGGCAAGTTCGCCAGGCGAACGGAGTAGCGAAGGTTCGCCAGAGGCTTCGCCAGGCGAAGATTAGCGAACACAGCAGCATATTTTCTTTTCTTGTGTTTTCCATTCGTGGATCGATTGTGTGGTTTGGTTGCGATCATTCCTTGTCTGAGATGACTAATTATATGTTGTTATATATGTTGTGGATAGCCGTATGGCGTGAATCCTAGTTTGTGATTTGTGAAGTGTGAAATATGGCCGTTTGGCAAGTTTGTGCATTATTTGAATTAAATAGAGATGCATGGCGAGATTGATTGTGTATGTGAACCATGTATGAAAATTGGTGTGAATGGATGATGAATATATATATATATATATATATATATATATATATATATATATATATATATATATATATATATATATATATATATATATATATATATATATATATATATATATATATATATATATATATATATATATATATATATATATATATATATATATATATATGAATGCATAATGAATATATGTGACGAATGTGATGATTGCATGAGTATGTTGGTAAACATGTATGCTTTTCAAGAGTGTCATGAGTCATGTTGCATGTGAAGCATCATGGTATGCATTCTTGTGTCAATTGATCCCTCGGTGGATTTGCAGAACCTCGTGTGCCCTTGTGGGGTGTGAGCGATGGTTATTTATTGATCCCTCGGTGGATTTGCAGAACCTCGTGTGCCCTTGTGGGGTGTGAGCGATGGTTATTTATTGATTCCTCGGTGAATCTGCAGAACCTCGTATGTTGCGATGGTTGTTTATTGATTCCTCGGTGAATCTGCAGAACCTCGTGTGCCCATGTGGGGTGTGAGCGATGGTTATTTTGGTTCTTCAATTGAACCTGCTGAAATGAGTCGGTACCGCATTTGCATCTGTATAGAGTCGTGTGTCGGTCTCTGTGAGTTGCATGTAGACATATGTGCATGATGTATGGTGAATAAACATGAATGTAGATGTTTATATAGATTGTTGATAATTGGCATGAATGGAAGGCTTGAATGTACATGTATGTGTGAATATATGCGTATATGTATGCCTGTTTATGAATTGATATAAACATTGTTGATGCACATTGAATATGCTTGGTGCTCTATTTTTAAATAGTTAATTGTGAAAACATTGCGATGTACGGTGTAGTGAGATGAGTTGCGGTGAGAATGCGGAAGACGTTTTTGGACGTCATGTATATATATATATATATATATATATATATATATATATATATATATATATATATATATATATATATATATATATATATATATATATATATATATATATATATATATATATATATATATATATATATATATATATATATATATATATATATATATATATATATATATATATATATATATATATATATATATATATATATATATATATATATATATATATATATATATATATATATATATATATATATATATATATATATATATATATATATATATATATATATATATATATATATATATATATATATATATATATATATATATAATGCTCTATGAGGCATTGCAGATTAGATTGCTGGAGCCTTTGTGAAGCGAGTCTTCATTTCTTTTGGTCAAATGGCTCTGATATGTAAAACTGGGTAGTTAGGATTTTTTTTGATTCTTTTGTGATACATCTGTGTATGTATCTGCTGATGAACGTTTTGTAAACTCAACCGATGAATTGAATTAATCTGAACGATGTATATGATGCTTATATTAATGAAGTGATTTCAATGTTTAGATGTTTCCGCTTTATTCTAAATGTTGATGCGTGGGTTTTAAGCGCTATGCTTTGTGTTTAGTTGAGATTTACCCCTTTTGTTACATATCTTTGTGAGCTGGTACTACTTATGTTTCGTTTCGATGATAATGTGATGCGCCTCTTTTATACCATGTTATAATTATACTCTGATAGAATTTTATTCATTAAGTGCCTAAATGATTTAATTGTTTATTTGGGGGCATAGAAAGGGGGTGTTACAATCCGACCATCTCACCTCTTCCCAAAAACCTAAAACTAGCCATATCTGACCCTAATTGGAAAGCCGCAATGCAGTCTGAATTTAATGCTCTTATTAGAAATAATACGTGGGATTTGGTTCCACGACCTTGTGATGTTAATATTATTCGTTGTATGTGGATTTTTCGTCATAAAAAGAAATCTAATGGTTGTTTTGTGCGTTACAAAGCTCGTCTTGTAGGTGATGGCAGGTCACAGATTGCAGGTGTGGATTGTGATGAGACATTCAGTCCTGTAGTAAAACCGGCGACCATTCGCACCGTTCTCACAATTGCTCTGTCCAAATCTTGGCCCATTCATCAGCTAGATGTCCAGAATGCATTTCTACATGGTGACCTTCATGAGACAGTTTACATGCATCAGCCACTTGGTTTTAGTGATCCTCATCGTCCAGATTATGTGTGCCGCTTGCGAAAATCACTCTATGGTCTGAAACAAGCGCCTCGTGCCTGGTACCAGCGTTTCGCTGACTTTGTCTCTACCATTGGATTCCAACATAGCACTTCAGATCACTCCCTTTTCATCTGCTGGCACTCTGTACGACGATCCTACTTCATATCGAAGTCTTGCAGGAGCCTTGCAGTATCTCACTTTCACCCGTCCTGACATCTCTTATGATGTTCAGCAGGTGTGCCTTCACATGCATGCTCCTTTCACCGACCACATGCTTGCGCTCAAACGCATCCTACGTTATGTTCAGGGCACCTTACATTATGGTTTGCATCTCTATCCATCCCCTATTGAGAAACTTATCTCCTATACTGATGCTGATTGAGGTGGATGTCCTGACACCCGCCGTTCTACCTCCGGCTATTGTGTGTTTCTTGGTGAAAACCTCATTTCCTGGTCTTCTAAGAGACAACCCACACTTTCTCGCTCCAGTGCAGAAGCTGAGTACAGGGGTGTTGCTAATGTGGTATCTGAATCTTGTTGGCTTCGCAACCTTCTCTTGGAGCTTCACTTTCCACTCTCTCAGGCTACTTTGGTGTACTGTGATAATGTTAGTGCCATCTACCTATCTGGAAATCCGGTACAACATCAACGCACTAAACATATTGAGATGGACATTCACTTTGTTCAGGAAAAGGTCGCTCGTGGCCAGACACGCATCCTTCATGTTCCCTCCCGTCACCAAATTGCCGACATCTTCACCAAAGGCCTACCTCGTGTTCTTTTTTATGATTTTCGGATTAGTCTAAGCCTCCGTGAACCTCCCGTTTCGAATGCGGGGGTGTAATAGAATAGATAATATTCTTGCCATTAAACATAATTATTTTTGTAATTATTTATAATTATTTTCATTTATATCTGTCATTACTCATAGGTTTGAATAACCTATTATTATTGTATTATATATACTCTTGATTAGATGAATAAAAGACAGACAATTATATTATAATAATATTCTATCTTATAGACCTCAGCGAATAGATCAAAATGAAAACCTCATTCAAAATATAACTTATTCATTTGTTTCTGCATTTTCTATGAACAAATAAATTTCTAATTGATTTCTCCTTCCTTCTGTGGAACTTAGAATGATTGCCAATGCATTTGTTGTGGTAGTACTGACTCCTATTGTTTACCTTCTTTTCTGTCGCGGTATTTTGAGAACCTAGTTGGGAGTCAAGATATACATCTTACAAGAATGTGTATCTAATTCTGCAGATATGTTTCCCGAAACCGATGATTGTGTTGAATGCTGCAATGTTCAATTAAATAGTAAAAAAACTCAGCACCATAGGCATATTTTTCTTTAATTCGCTGCATTCAGGGCATTGTAAAAAACAGGTTAGGTCAAACTATGTCTCTCACCAGCCACAAATCTCTTGCATTAACTGAAGTTCCTGGTTTCAAACCTAGGTCCGACCATGATGCCGTTACTGTTGCTTTCCACGCACTCCTATTCCATAAGACAACTGCTAGCTTATTATCACTGAGAGGACCTGCCCAAACCTGCACATTTGCACTTACACGAAAACACGAAGAAGTATTATCAAAAAAGGCTGAGAGATCCATCCCTGGTTTTATTGAAAATGAGAAACTAACCCAAGAAAACGAAAAAGGGGAAAGGAAATTACCTCCAAATCACCATTACTTTTCACCTTTTCCCCTTGAACTCCTAGCTTGTCTGCAAAACCACTAAGTTATTAGTGTTAAAAGCATTGACTGTTAAGAGATATTAGAGGATTCTTAGTTTGTTCCTGCCTTGGTTTACTGCAATAACTTCTGAGTTGCTTAGCAATTCCTTTGTCGTGTTATCAAGCGCTCGAATGTCACAACCGATCAATAAAGGGGCCTATTTATGCAAAAGAATAAGAGTTTATTATATTAAACACGTTTTATTTAGAGGACATTATTGTGAATATAGTTCTCTAACCTGCAAGTATTAAAATTTTTTTTGTTTCAACTTACCTTAGCTAATGCCCATATGCTGAAATGGGCACGATATTCTTCAGTTGTCATACCTCCGTTTCCAACTTCAAGCATGTCAGGATCTGTCCCCGACAAAAACCGAATCTGAACTTTAATTTCTTCATTTTGAAATAAGTAAATAGGAATTATACGTAGACATGTTAAGTTACTTTACTTATTTTGGTGAAAGAATTGGTTATTTTAGTACTTAATATCATGATAAACATAGCGGAGAGAATTGTTTGTATGATTACCATTCCATCCTCCGGGTCCAGCGTAAGATGCCCATTTGTTATTTAGATCTGCGCGAGATATCATACTACGGAGAAAGTATGGTAAGTTTCCCAAATGGAAAATGAAGAACTGAAACAGGTTAAGTGTTCAATAGAGCATGAATCTAATGCAAACATTGGCTAGATTCCAAATTGAGTACCAGGTAATGAAACTTCTCAAATTAGATTCATTAAGATGCTCACCTATCCCATTTATCTTTAATATCTCCTGTTGTCCTCCAACTATTTCCCACACTTTTTGCCCATGTCGCCGGGTCTTCTGATCCCCTATGTTTGAAATTGCAGTTAATCATAAATATTTCTTGCCGAACAAGTAAAGTTTATCATAACCAATACGACTCACCATTCACACAAAGAGAAGAAGATTGGTCTTCCAGATTTCAACAAGGCTTCACTCATTGTCGGGTACCTGTTCTTACAAAATTTTAGAAGCATTTTGTCGGTCTGATTATGCATTTGAAAGCCAGAATTCTATACCTTTCTTTCGGGTCTATATTATTATTCTCACAGTTATCATACTTCAAATAATCAATTCCCTAAAGTATCAATAAAAATTGATGTTAATTAAATTCATATAGTATATACATGTATACATAAATTCAAAATGGTTTTCGAGTGAACTGTATATTACCCAGGAAGCAAATGTTTTTGCATCTTGCACTTCATGTCCTAGTGATCCAGGCATTTTCTTACTGCATGTTTGGTTTCTGCAGAAAAATTGTTAGAACTAATAAAAATGGTTGAACAATCATAGATATTATAAAATCAAAGTTTTAGTCTAAAAACTTCATACCCTGCATCGGAATAGATCCCTAATTTGAGACCTTTGCTATGTACATAATCAGCTAGAGCCTTAATTCCTGAAGGGAATGTTGATGATTTAGCAACCAAATTACCCTGCCACCATTTCAAATTTTTTAAGTATAATTATTATATAAATTAATTAGTATAACATAATTTTATAATAAAATAATAATATTACCGTTGAGTCTCGATTAAGTTCACCCCAACAATCATCTAAAAATTAAGAAGAAAAATCAATAATATTTATTTGTAAATAAATATATGAATTTTTTTATAGAAAAATAATATACTAGCAAAACAAACTCTAAATTTTAACCAATTAAAAAATATTAAAAATATATATATTAAAGATTATGTTGTTAGTATTTCTCTGAATAAAATAATAAAGATGATAATAACAATAATTATAGAAACAATGCAAAATGTTGTCCTACCTATATTAATATAGTTGTAACCTAGATCAACAAGGCCAGTTGACACCATAGCATTAGCTGTATAATTAAGTATATAGTAAATTAAATTAAATATTTCTACAATTATAAAACAAATTTTACAAAGTAAAAGTTATAAGTTACCTGTTTGTTTGATTAAGTCTTCACTAACATCACAATGAAAATGGTTCCAGCTATTCCATCTGATTTATTATAGTAATAATTACTCATTCATATATTTGAGGCGAAAATTTCATGAAAGAAAAATATAGAAAGTGATGCTTACCCCATAGGAGGTGTTTGGCCAAGTCCATTATCAAGCATAATTCTTCTATGTTGCTCTCTAAACATGATTACTGTTCTATTCAATAATAAACTTGCATATGAAGAATTTGCATTACTCAATACCATAAGAAAACACAAAACAAGCATATTCATTATGGAAAACTTGAAGTTCCAACCTAAGCTTGAATATTGAAGTTTCATACGCATATCACTAATAGAAACAAGTGTATAATTATGTGTGTCTTAAAGAAAAAAAGCAAAAATATAGATAGCAATAATGTTAAATGATGGATGTACCAATGTTGGAAGAGTGTGTTGCAATTTATAGAGCAATAAGTGAGTCTTAATGGACAAGGTTGTTTGCTTCACGGGTGTAATAATGTACTTTACTATACATTACTTTATTACTTTTGTTTTATTTAATCATGTACATGTACACAAAATTTCACACCAAAAATATCGACAAAACAATACTAGTAGTTTCACTTATTACAAAGTACGTGAATGAAAGAATATAATTTATCTGATAATTATTATAAACTTTTTTTAATCTAATAATTAATATATATGATTTATATAATTATCAGATATATTATTTTTTTACAAAATTTTAAAAAGTTATTTATAACATTGATAGGTGAAAATAAAAATAAAAATAGATTTATTAATAAATTTATTGATTATTGATGAGATATTGAGAAATTGTTGTTATAGATAAGTATCTATCCAAAGCTATGAGTTATGGTGGTTGTTATATATGTCCCTCAATACCAGCATTGCATGTGTGCAATTGGACATGAGGCTCTTATTTTAAAGATGTAATAAAGTTTGGGAAATGCTCTTTCCATCATGTGGGGTGCACTTTAGACCTTTAAATTTTTGATCGATAAAATAATTAAAGAGGTACAATGTCATTCTTAACATCAAGTTCCTACTTAGATACCTGATTGTCTGTACTTCACAGGAGCACATATGCAACTACACAAAAAAAGTAGTGAGAATACGTTCAAATAATAATCGGTGCATACAATAATCAGAGTAGATTCACATATCACAATCATGCACATATTCAACATGCACTACAATATCATGTATTCATATTTCATCCACATCACGATCAAAGCATCAGCTACGACATTGACTTTACCAAGATGGTAACTCAAACCAAAATCATAACTCTTGAGGAATTCAAGCCACCTTCTCTGCCTCATACTCAACTCCTTCTGATCGAATAGATACTTTAAACTTTTGTGGTCATTAAACACTTCAAATCTAGAACCAAACAGATAATGCCTCCATACTCATGTCTCGAAAACAATGAAGTCACCACCAAAGTTTATTTTAAAAGGAAAAACATTGATAAAACCCTTAAAGAAGAAAAATATGGTATTCACAACCAAATTTAGGTCCAGGAGTCGATTACGCATATGGAAGATATTAGCACCCTACGACATCAGTTTAAGAAAACCATTAACTCTAGTTTATTTTGAAAAATAATGTTATTAACCTGATTAGGTCGATTTTCTCCTAATCACTAAACACAAAATAAACGTATTTACAAACAAAGAGAATTTTTTTATTAGGATACTTGACAAGATTTGAATCTTGCTCTTACATATCTCCCGATGCGATGCAAAATTCAAAGTTACGTAGTTCTTGGTAAAAAAATCTTGTGTGTTGGTTGATTTTAAAGAAAAATGTTTTGATCGCATTCGAGCGGAAAAATGTTGCTTGTTGGTCGTGTTAGTATGGATAAAAACGCTGTTTCTATATCATTGTTGAGGGAACAAAACATTCTTCGTTGACTGGTTGTGATTTTTTTTAAAGAGGAAGACAAACGATAGAACAAGCAAGCTATACGGCTTGTGTCTGGACATCCGAGAAAAAAAGGGATATACATCCAATTAATCTTTTTTCAATCAAATTTTTGTTGGTAAAGAAAAATATTTAACACAAATCGAGTTGAATCCCTTAAAGGATGACGTGTGTTAGAACAAGTAAGCTATATGATTTGTATTCGAATACCTCAGAATAAAAGAGATATACATTCAATTAATCATTTTTAATCCTATAAAAGCAATAAATACTAATGTTCAAGTTATTAATAAATTTTTTTTAAAGGAAGACAAGCGTTAGGACAATCAAGCTATATGACTTGTGCCCGAACGCACGGGAAAATTTTTGATATACATCCAATTAATACTTTTTCAATCTAATTTTGATTTATTTAAAAGATGAGATTCAAACGATCATGTTGTACAACTTGCATTTTAAAAATTCAACAATTAAAGTATATGTATATCGATTTGACCACTCTGTTGAAGATGTTTGCTCTTATCATTTCACTAAAAAAAATAAAATTTAAAAATGATCCAATTAAAACATATTGCATTCATAAAACAAATTAAAAAATATATATCATTTTATTACAAAAATAATAAGTAAAAAGTAGTAGTGTATGTTAGAATTTTGAATTACAAATGTAATATTACATGTGTTAAGGCCATTATATAATTAGCCAAAACTAAAGCGGTATAATTGATATTAAGTCTATGGCTATGAGCATATATGTCATGATAGGTTATTGTGTAGATACATAACTCAATATCTAATTTGATGAAGAGTTAAATTAGAATATTGAAAACTAAGAAATAACCATACGGTTATTTATATGGATTATGATTCTCATTTGTAGAGCAATTGACAACATGATTTATCAAGATTCTTTCTTCAACCCCATCATAAGAGATTTAAGAAATCATAAGAAATTCTACAAACCGGAAAATCACATACCCACAAACTTTCGTCGATTTAACTTGCAAACTCAAGTACGTTTTCGTTTTCATTCTTTGATTCAATTCTAGTATGAGTTTAAGGGATATAAATTGATGACATATTTGACTCATAAGGATTAGTTTAAAATTCTACTCTTAATTTTTATAATGTTGAAAATCATACAGTAAAGAGTAGATCTAACCGTGTAAACATCTTTATGTTTGTTTATTGTTGATTAGTAACCTAAGAAAAAAATAAAGAAAGAAATGATAATAATACAACACAAAAAGAAAAAGAAAAAGAATTATGTTATGAATAAGTTAATGGGTCAGGAAAAATATGAAAAACTCAACTTGGCCCAATAACACCATCTACTTAACATAAACCCTAACATAACAACAAAGAGAATTTAATATACCACCCCAAAGATTAAACATGGCATTCCACATATTTTGTTAATTTCAAAATTGCTCGTGGATAAAGTTGGGTAAAAAAAAATGCGAATTAAAATTTTGGTAGTTCATTATAAATCTTCAGTAACAGACCAAATTTTTGGTAGTTCATTTTGAAATTGTCGATATTAAATTATACCGATTTTTTATTTTAAAAAGTCTGGTATCTTTAAAACTAACTTCAAAACTTTTCGGTAAAAATACAAAAAAAATTTATCGAAAATTTTGAAATTCACGATAAAAATACAAGAGTTGTTATCATAAATTTTGAAATTTCTGGTAAAAATACAAGAGTTTATATGATAAATTTTTTATTGTATATTTTAAAATTGCCAGAAAAAAAACATGAAAGTTGAAAAAATTCTTACTTTTGTTGAAATTGCCAGTATGAGTTACAAACTTTATGATATCACCAATTAAATTTTGTTAAATGCATGAATTTTGCACTGATTTGGACAAATAATTTTAAAGTTATGAAGGATAATATAGTCAACTCACTCAACGTGTGGGGGTGTCGGGTATAAGCTGGGGGCGGCAGGTTAAATTATTGAAAACAAACAACACGAGTGCATCAAAAAGAAGAAAAAAAGACAACAACAAGAAAAGTGCAACAACCCCTAACATATAAAAACACAGTAGAGATAAAAATGTGAAAAGCCTTACCGGCGACTGAGTTACATTTGAAAGGAGCTACTACAACCAAAACAATGTTGTTGAGCAGTGGCTGGAAAAAAGTGGCGGTAGAGGAAATGACAGCGACCAACGTGTGTGTTTAGCAATCCAACGACGATAAGTTATTTTGTGCTTCTTGTCTTTTCGGTTTCTCTCCTATCTTCTACTATTTTATTTTTAAGCTTTTTTTATTTTTTGGAGATTTTTTTCCTTGAAATGGACGTGTGATTGGATTTGGATGTTATTGTTGTTATATTGTGTTTTGAAGGAATGATGGAAATGTTGAAGGGTGGTTATTATAGGAGATGATGAATAATGGTGTTGTAATTCTACATTTTATCACTATGCTCTCTCTACTCAATTATGTTCTTAAATTTATTTCCAGCAATTACTCTTTTTTGTTTACCCTTATTATTTTCTTCCTCTTCTCCCTTCAAAAATCCTCTCTTTCCAACTCTCATTCTATTAGGGGATTTCTCAAACTTCATTTTTGATTGATTTATGGGATACTATAACATGTAGCCAGATATGAAGGGATGAAGGTTTGGATGTAAAAATTGGAAGCTTTCAGAACACTACTTTTAGAAAATAGAGTTGTTTTTTATTTTACTTTTATGTTTTTACTATTGCTTATTTATTTTTATTTGTATTTTTTATTATTCACTACTACAGAAAATGGTTTTTACCTCGGACGCGAAATGCATAATACCTCGGCTAAAGAAGTAAGTTAATGAAGGACGACATGAAAAATTGCCACTTATCACCTCAGTGGAATTAAAACCGAGAGGTAAAGTTAAATCCACATGGGTTTGAACCCCAACAACATCACTTTTGTTATTTTCAAAACTAGCGAATCTAATATCTCAGTTTATCTTGAAAACTGAGGGGTAAGATTTTTTTTTATAAAATTGTTATATTGTTTACCCACAATATTACATTGTTTACCCAGAATATTATAGTATTTACACAGAATATTAAAATAAAAATAAAATTACCTAGGGATCTTGATAAAAATCAAATTCCTAGAAGATCTAGATTTTAGATCTTTGAACTATTGAATCTTGGGGAAGATCAAATATTGGGTGCAAGATTATTCTCTACAGATATTGCATGCATTTGATTCCGAATCAAAAAAATAAGGGTTAGATAAATAAAATCAATATTCAAATATATGATTTCGTGCTCAAATAAATATCTAAGAAAGCAAACCTTAAACCCAAGTAATTTTTTGCTCTTGTAATCCATCTTAAAGAACTTTTTCAAACGTCTTTATGTTTCAAGCGCTTCATGTTACATATAAGTTAGACT